GGTCTACTCTTTGCATCCCCAGAGCCTCGAACAGTCTTGAAATTCATAAATACTTAATGTCTCTGTACCTCAGTTTCCTCATTTGTAAAATGGTGTGTGGGAAGGGTCTGACTACATGACTCCCTCAGAGAATGTTTGTTGGATTTCTTGGGTCTATTAAAACCCAAAGTCATTATTAAATGACTCCATATTCATTTGGCAGGAGATCCTTAGTGAAGGGCCCAAAAGGTCTGTGGTTGGGCCTGCTCTATGGAATGCTTTTTATCAATGGCATGGATGAGGGTAGACATGCCGTGCTTATCCAATCTGCAGGGGATGAAAAGCTGGGAAACCTCGTTAACACACCAGATGACACTGTCAGGATCTAAAGAGATCGAGGCAGCTAGCAGGACTTAATCTACTAAGAGGAAATCAATGGGGATAAATGTAAGTCTTGTATATAGGATTAAAAAAATCACCTTGGCAAGCACAAGAGGTGGGAAAGAATGCCTAGACAGCAGCTCACCTTGATGAATTCTAAGAGTTTTAACAGACTTCAAGCACACTCTTTCTCCCTCTCCTACTCTCTCTTCTTCTCTCTGTCTCGCCTCTTCCTTAGTTCAAATTTGTCTTCAGTAACTTACTAGCTATGTGACTCTGGGCAAGTCACTTAACCCTGTTTGCCTCAGTTTCCTCATCTGTAAAATGAGCTGGAGAAGGAAATGGTAAATCAGAGTTGGACATGTCTGAAGATGACTAAGCAACAACAAATATATAGGAATGTGTACACACACACAAACAAACACACACACACAGAGCTACATTCAGAAAGGCAGGAATTGGGAGGTGATAGTACTTTGTTCTGGTCACATCATAGCTAGAACTCAGTGTGACATTGAAGAAGTTCTGGAGGGGCAGCTAGGTGGCGCAGTGGATAGAGCACCGGCCCTGAAGTCAGGAGGACCTGAGTTCAAATCCGGCCTCCGACCAACACTTGACAGTTACTAGCTGTGTGACCTTGGGCAAGTCACTTAACCCCAATTGCCTAAAAACTAAAAACTAAAAACAAAAAACAAAAAAAAAAAAAAAAAAGAGAAGTTCTGGAAGGGGACATCACTGCTATATTCAAGGAGGGAGGTCAGAAGGAAGAATTGTTTGTTATATTACCCTCGGTCCCTGAGAGTAAAAATAGGAAGAGTGTGGCAGACTTAGGATTGAGGTCAAGAAGGCCTTCTAGAATAATCTGAGCCCATGGGGCTCTGAATGGGAAGGTCTTGGGAGGGCGCAGGCCCTTTGCACACAAAGTTCCCCTGCAGGACCTCGCTCCAGACATGCTGCGCAGCTTCCAGGACAAACTACAAACTCCTCAGCCTGGCATCAAAAGGCCTCTTCAACGGAGCTCCCATTTTCCTTACTCTCTTTCCTGTCTCCGTCCTTGCTGACCCGGCCCACTCATTGTTCCGCAAGCATGACGCTCCCTCTCTCAGATCCTTGGCCCACATTCCTCTGCCTGACATCTGTCTCCGAGAGCCCTCAGCATCCTTCAAAGCACAGCCCAGGAGCTCCCTCCTACAGAAGGCCTCTCCTGAACCCCTTTGTTCTGAGGTCTGTCCCTCTTGAAATTACTTGGCAAAGTGCGTGGGAGTGAGGGCTCTGACCCCCAAGAGATGTCTGAGGGAAGCTCGAATTCCACAGTGATGGAAGGGTCCTGACCCCACCGAGAGTGTGTGTGTGTGTGTGTGTGTGTGTGTGTGTGTGTGTGTAGAGAAAGAGGGAGGAGAGGAGAAGGAGAGGAAGGGAAAGAGAGAGAGAGAGAGAAGGAGGGAGGGGGGAGAGAGACACAGAGAGAGAGAGACAGACAGACAGACAGAGAGACAGAGTAAGAGAAAGACAGAGAGAGAGACAGACAGACAGAGAGAGAGAGACAGACAGACAGACAGACAGACACAGAGAGAGAGGGAGGGAGACAGAGAGAGACAGAGATCTGGCTCCCAAGGAAGGTGCATCCCTCTACTGTTCCCAGCTCTCTGTCCCTTAATCTGAACCCAGCTCAGTCTTTCATGATCCTTAAATTCAATACCCACCACAATGATGACATGGCCCTCACTTCCTGTCTTTCCAGACCACCCCCCTCCCCCCGACCCAGACGCACTGAGTGCCTCTCCTGCCTCAGTACCCTGTGACCTTCAGACCCCTGAGGCCAGCCCTAACAGCACCCATCTGGAAGACAAGAGTCAAATCTAGGCCCGCTGACCCGAGCTGACAGGCACAGGATCAGACACATGTCTTCAGCGTGGCACCGTCGAATAAATATTGGATTTGAAGATGGAGACTGGGTTTGAACCCCAGCTTGGCTTGTTACTGCCTGTGTGATCTCGGGGCAAGTTCCTTCCCTTGTTTGGGGGCCCGTTTCTTTCTCTAAAATGGGTCAGATGCCCTACAAACGCCTACCATGAGCTCTTCTGCTGGGAAGGCCGGAGGCCCTAGAGGCTGGGTCAGTCCCCCCAGGAGGGAGGAAGGAGAAGGTGAGAAAGGAGGTGGCAGGAAGCCTAGGGTCTGACTTCACCAGACCCAGGGGAAACATCCTGAAGTCAAAGAGAACAGAGGTCAAAGCAAAATTGGCCTGTGTGGGGCTCCTTCCCTCTCCAAAGGAAAACAGCTCCACTTGAGGAAAATTTTTCTAATGAACTACAGCAGCCCGCCCCCCCCCCCTTGGGGATACCCCCCCCCCCCCCCCCCCCCCAAGTCAGTCCCACGGATGTCCTAGGGGCTCAGACTCTGGGGGGAAAAGCAAAACCGTGCCAAGTTAAGAAATCCACTAGCACTAAAGTGACTATCTACTACTAAGTGGAGAAGGTAACCAGGGCTCAGAATACAGGACACAGACCCACCTAGCCGAGACAGAGGCTAAAGCATGGAGGAACTGAGAGGAGGGCAGACACTGGAGGAAGAGGCTGAGGGCCTGCAGAAGGGAGAGGGATGAAGGCCGGAAGGCAGGACCTAGAGAAGGGCCCGCAGGGCTGCTCGACCAAGATGCTGGGAGGGCTTGGGAGGCTGACAGAACAGAACACAAGCTCCTCGAGGGCAGGGACAATCTTTTGTCCTTGAACTTAATAGATGTTTATTAACCATTTCTAATGTTTCTGTATAACTTTTATAGGGAGACAGCCTGGATAGAGGATAGGCTCTGGAGTCAGGAAAACCTGGGGTTCAATTCCTGTCTCTGATGCTTTCTGGCTGTGACCTCTTGGCTTCAGTTTCCTCCTCTGTAAACCAACCTCAGGGTTATCCTAAGTATCAAAAAAGATAACATTTGGGGCAGCTAGGTTGTTCAGTGGATAGAGCACCAGCCCTGGATTCAGGAGGACCTGAGTTCAAAACCTCAGACACATAACATTTATTAGTCATGTGACCCTGGGCAAGTCACTTAATCCTGTTTGCCTAACCAAAAAACAAAACAAAACAAAACAAAAGAACATACATAGTATTTAACTGTGAGCGCCTCAAGAAAAGGGACTGTTTTTGCCTTTGTTGTTTCCTCAATGTTTAGTGCAGGGCCTGGCACATAGTAGGCACTTAATAAAAGCTAACCGCCTGAATGATTTCAAAGTGCTCTGCAAACAGCAGAATACGATATAACTGCTATTATCTTTACAGCACCTAACCTAGTGTCTGGCCCACAGTCAGCCATCCTAACTGTGTGGTGATGGATTCACCGGCCTCTGCAGCCCAGAGCTGCCTCAGAGCTGGGAATGGTGGTCTTGGCCACGGTTCCCAAGCTGTTTCCTTCCACGGACTGAATGAATAAGCACCAGTGTTTCCCAGCAGCAGCTTCAGGCCCCACACCTGTCTAGGGGTGGGTAGGAGCCAGGGCTAGGGGGATCGAAACCTCCTGCCCAAGCCATAACACCGATGCCCCGGGGCCTCCTGCCTCAGAGCCTCCGCTGCTGGGGATGGGGCCTCCCATCCTCCCCTCCTCTGCTGCTGCGGATGGAGTCTCCCATCCTCCTTGCCTCTGCGTGGGTTGTTTACAAAGCCCCATTCAAGGCTCCACACATGGAGACAGAATTTTCCCCATCACATTCCCTGTCAGACTGTCAGCCTGAATCCCACTTTAATCTGCCAGAAGCACTTTTCTGCTGACATTTTTAATAAATACTTTCAGCTTTTAAACACATTTGTGGGGGCCATTTCCACGTCTCCCTCTCCTGCCTCCTTCTCTCAAGAGGGGGCTCAGAAAGCTCTAATAGCAAATCCATCAGGCCTGGCAGAGGCCTGAGTCCCCCACCCTGGCCTCCCTCCTCGCTTCCCAAGCCTCCCCGCCCCGCCCTGCTCCTCCTCTCCCAGGCCAGCCACAGCATCCTGAGTGAGGTGGTGTTTTCAATTTGAAAGCTAAATTAACTGTCCAATTGGATTTGGCTGCTGCAAGCCAGTTCCTGTGACAGGTTTTAGTTATGAAGCATATTTCACATTAATAGAACTCAACATGAAAACCTCGCGCCCAGGGACTGCCGCGGCTCGCCATTGAAATGTTAAATTTAATATTTCAGACATGCTCGTGCCAGTGTTTGATTATTGTTCTCCATTTAAATCCCTCCTAACGGGAAAGGGCCTAATTAGTAAAAAATCATGTTTTAATGAAGGCAAAATGCTAATTGCTAACACACAAAAAAAGAGCCTGCATGTGGAATTAGCTGGCAGCCCTGCTGGTGACTTCTCCAGGACTCAACGGCACGGCACGCTCCCCTAGTGACTGGCTCTCTTCTTCCTTGGGCGCTGCAGTACCTCCCCCATCCCCGAGATACAGAGAAGCCACAGGCTCTTTCTGAAAGTTCTCAGCAGCCCTTTCTTCCTCATCCCAAGAGCTACCGCCAGGACTCTGGCCTACTTGCTGATGGGCACTCAATGCCCCAGAAAGCCTCAGGGCAGAAAGGAGTCTCTGTGCTCCATGCACAGGAGGGAGGGGCCCTGGGCCCAGCAGGCAGGAGGAGTGAGGAGTGCTCAGGGTGGCAGGTACTTACGTCACTGAGCTGGTCCCTAGAGCTGCTCCACTGGGAGCTGGTGGCTTCTCGGACACTGTCTTCTTCGCTGTTGCGGCTGCCGCTCTTGCTTGAAGGGACCTTCATCTGGGGGACAAGGAGGAGAGAATACTCTCAGAGCTACAACCTCACCTTCCATCCTACTTCTCAAACCAGTGCCATCACCCTGCTCCTTACCCTGCTACCGTGCCTCTGACCCCTAGACAGATGCCTCTGACCCCTAGACAGATGCCTCCTTTTGTGCATGTGTATGTGGGTGGGTACAGGTGTGTACGGGGAGGGATGTTAACTCTTTAAAGGTGACATTTAGGGTTCTCAAGTCAAAGGAATGTCTGTCTACTCATGGTTCTAAAGAGTCAATATGTGGGTGGGGCAGATCTTCCTCCTTTAAGCATGTGGTTTTTGTTTTTGGACCTGGGCAGTAAATACATTGGGTTTGCTCAAGACTAGAAAGAAGGGAAAAGGTTGGGGAAGGAAACACTGGAAAATGAGAATGATTCCCCCCCCCCACCCCTGGAAAGATCATCAATTTTTTAAAAAGCAAAGAGTCTTGATAGGAGATTGGGGGGCAGTCCTTTGATTTTACTGGTTTGGGAAACTTCCAGGTGAGAAAATTCCATCAATACAAGGCTGGCACCTTCTCCTAACAAGCTTAGGGAGATGCTTAGAGCAGGGTGTCAGATGCAAAGCTCACAAAATTTCTGAAATAAGTTTAAAAAGTTTAACATAACAAAAATACAACACAGATAATGTGAAATTGTGGTTTTCTGAGTCAATATGCAGCCCCCAGGGATCTGCTTCTACTTGAGTTGGAGGACACTGTTAAGTAACCTCCCCAGGGTCATAAAAGCTCTCCCTTCCCCAAAAAAGAGTCAATATAGCCATTCCCAAACACCAGGCTGACCCTCAGCCTGTGCTGAGCCCATCATGGATGGTTCTCACAAAGGAAACTGGCATCATTTTTATGATTTTTCTTCACATCTCAAGGTCATTTCAATACAGGATGCTGGCCAGTCTTATGGACACCTTTTTGAGTCCTCTGCTTTCACGCCAGGGGCTAACAGGTACGTGGTATTTGTAGCTGTGACTGGGCAGCTTGGCCACCGCTGGCTAGACAGTCCTCTTCAAGGTGGGTGGACAGCAGGGAACACTGAGGGAGGGGGCTTCCCACGGAACCCCTCCTCGGGGAATAGCTGAAAGGAGAGGTGGTTGACTGCACAGAGTGTAGGGTGGCACCTGCATCAGGCCAGATCTGGGATTTCTGCCCCTCGTGGCATGCATCAGAGTGGTGGGAATGAGAGATGGGGAGTTGGCTGCAGGCCGCCTCACTGCCTAGCAGAACAGTACCATTTTCCCTTCCCCAAACAATAATAATCATTATTATAACAACAATCATCACAGACACGTACACAATTGGTGTTCTACATGTCTGCCAAGCACTGCATGACTTTCGTTTCTCCCCACAACTACAGTGGGGGCACTTGAACATATTATTATCCCCTACAGAAGTGGGGAACCTGCGACCTCGAGGTCACATATGGTCCTCTGGGTCCTCAAGTGCAGCCCTTACCTAGAGGACCACATGTGGCCTGGAGACCGCAGGTTCCCCACCCCTGGCAGAGTTTCAGATTTGGGGGAGATGGACCTCAAGGGGTCACCAAGTTCAGCCCAGGTACCTAAACCAAGAATCTTCTTGATAGCATCCCTCACCAGTGGTCAGCCAGCCTGAAGACCAGACAGTCTTGCCCACTGCCTCCCTAGGCAGGCCCTTCCTATAAGACCATTAGAACATCCGAGCTGTTGGCACGTTGTCTCCCCCATTATTCTGGGGGCTCCCTAAGAGCAGGGACAATCATCTGCTTTTCTGGTGTCCACAGCGCTGAAGTCGGGCCTGGCATACAACAGGTGTTTAATAAATGCTTGCTGACATTCAGCCTCATTCTGTCTCTTGGCATCAACCACCATTTACTTCTGGGTCTACCCTCTTGGGCCAAGTAGACCAAGTGAAATCACTCCTCCCCATGTTAGCCCTTCAAATACTCGAAGTCTGTTACCATGTCCCTCATGGGTTATATACCTCCCCTACATTTAATGGACTGTGCCACATAACTCTCTACTTTCCATCAGCAGAACATGGTGCCCCTGAGCTGGGTACTGCCTCCCCCCACCCTTTTTAAGCTTCTTTTATGTACTGTCTTCCTCCCGCTAGATTGTAAGCTCCTTGAGGGCAGGGACTGCCTTTTCTATTTATGTATTTATTTCCTTTCCTATTCCTACTTGGCACAGTGCCTGGAACACACTAGGTGTTTAATAAATGTTTACCAACTGACTACTTACCCCCAACCTAAATCTTTAAAATAGGTACGTAATGTTTATTGACTGACTACCTAACTCTCAGTCTAAATCTCCTAAGTAGGCATATAGCAGATGCTTAATAAATATTTATTGACTGATTGATGATATACTCCCAGCCCCAAACCCTCAGCAGAAACATGTGGTGGTTGTTCAGTTGTTTTTCAGTCATGCCTGATTCTTCATGACCCCATTTGGGGTTTTCTTGGTACAGGTAATGGAGTGGTTTGCCATTTTCTTCTCCAGCTCATTTTAGAGATGAAGAAACTAAGGAAGCAGGGTTAAATGACTTGCCCAGGGTCACACAGCTAGTAAGTATCTGAGGCTAAATTTGAACTCAGATCTTCCCGACTCCAGGCCCTCTGCTCTATCCACTGCTCCACCTCTAACTGCCTCAATAGTACATGCTTGATAAATGTTTATTGATTGACTGAATCTCCGAGCCTAAATCTCCCAAAGAAAAAGTTAAAAAAAATAATAATAATAATAGACACAGCCATACGAAAGAACTTGTAAAGCATTCTACATATATTATTGCATTGGACCCTCCTAACAAATTTATAAGGAACTGCTTTTATTTTAATGGATGAGGAAACCAAAGGTCTGAGAAGTAAGCTCACTTGCCTATGTCCCACAGCTGGTAAACACAAGAGAGGGGATTTACATGCAGTTTTCTCCTAACTCCAAGCGTACTCAGCCTCTCCATTACAGCAGGCTGCTTCTGGATAACCTGGCTGCTTTCCTAGGTTGTCCAGAACTCTCCTCCCATCACTATCTGACGAGATTCATGCAGATTCTAAAAGCTGAGCTGTGCCTCAGACCCTCTGGATTATTTTCAATCTATGGCTAAAGTTCCACGAACTTAAAAGGACGAGAAGAGGATTTCTTTATTGTTGAGGTCTCGTCCAGCCATGTTCTACCAGAGAAATGAGTTCATATCATCTGAGAGTTAGAGATTGTGATCCCCTCCCCCCAACTCTGATGATCTCAGTCTCCCCCAAGATGCTTCCCCCAGGGTTAGCCGTGCTCTGAAACAGAAGAGCGGCTCCATTAGCGAACTGTTTGAGAAATCCCTCCCTCTAAACGAAAATGGGCACGTTCCAATTAGAACCGTCCATCCTCCGCCTGTGCTGCTGACACGTTTTTCTCCAAGACCCCATCAGAAAGGATGTGGATCAGGAAACCTCTCTCCTTTATCCCATTCCCTCCCCAAAATGGCAGTTCTTGCTCAAGATGGAGGTGCATGCGACATCACTCTCCCCTGGGGTCTTGCATAAATATTATCTGTGCCTCCGTAATGTTATCTGCTCCCCCCCATTAGACTGTGAGCTTCATGAAGGCAAGTCCTGAGCTTTATCTGTAACCCTGTAGAAAAACAACAGGCCAGAAGAGTGCCCCTAATACACACACACACCCACACCCACACCCACACCCACACACCCACACACACGCACGCATAATATTTGCTGGTATGTAATTATTTTAGGCCTTGACTGACCAGTGGGGAGTCACAGATGACACTGTCCCTCAGTATCCCCCAGACAACTGGGGTTGTCTTCTGGCTCACCCAGGGGCAGACTCAGTCCCACAGTGACAGAATGGAATACTTCCTCCCCTCAGGAGGCCAGGATTCAACAACAGCATTATCCCCATTTTACCAGATAGAACACGTGAGGCAAGCAGAGCTGAAGTGACTTGCCCAGGGTCACACAGCTAGGAAGCATCTGAGGCTGGATTTGAACTCAGGTCTTCCTGACTCCATAGCTAACACTCTACTGTGCCACCCTGCTGCCTCTATAAAGGGAGGAGATGTGCATGTATAGAGAGGTGAGGGAAGAAGAAACCACAGAACTAAGAGGAAAGGAAGGAATTCCTGGGGCCGAAAGGGAAGGACAGACAGAAGGACTGCATGGGAGGGGTGAAATCTTCAGGGGATGGGAAGGAAGCAGAGCAGACCATGGGGTCACAGTGGCTTTCATGACCACCTGGACCTTGCCCTGAACATTTTCCCCGGAAAAATTGGTGCCATTCAGTCCCACAAACAGCAGCTCTATGATGGAGCAAACAGTGGAGGAGATCCCGCCTCGTTCCACAGCTAGTTGGCCATGAGGCTCTACCAGACACAGGGTCAGTCATCCAAATGAGTTCCAGCCCCAAAGTGGAAGCTTAAAAGTGAATGGACCTTCCACATTAGTGCCACGTGGTCAGATGGCCAAAGAAACGCTGCCCTGGACAGGCCTACTGAGGATTCACAAACACTGCTAGAGTTTCCCTAGAAGGATCAATTATTCCCAGAACTAGAGTCATAGACCCACAGAATGTCAGAGCTGGGAGGGCCCTTAGGACACAGAATGTCAGAGCTGGGAGGGCACTTAGAACAGAATGTCAGAGCTGGGAGCCCTTAGGACACAGAATGTC